AGAGAGAGAGAGAGAGAGAGAGAGAGAGAGAGAGAGAGAGAGAGAGAGAGAGAGAGAGAGTTTAGATGATGTACGCCTCATCGTACAATTTATTACAAATTTTTTTATTTTTTTTCCTCCTAGAGGTTCCCCCTACCTCTACCCGCATACTCACTGTCCCTGGAAAAAAAATATATATATATATCCTATGGGTCTACAACTACTGTTTATAGCGTACAGGGTCTAAATCCTATGGTACACGCCGTACTACACGACCTTACAGTTATGGAACACTGCCTTGCAGCTATGGAACACGGTATTGCAGCTATGGAACGCGGCCTTGCAGGCAGGTATGGAACACTCCCTTGTAGTTCTGGAACACTGCCTTGCAGCTATGAACACGACCTTCAACTATGGAACACGGCCTTGCAGCTATGGTACATGACCCTACACACCCTCACAACTATGGTACAAACAAATATTATACACGGTCCTACAAATATGGTGCACAGGTATGACACACACATACACACACACACAGGGTCAATCTCTCTCTCTCTCTCTCTCTCTCTCTCTCTCTCTCTCTCTCTCTCTCTCTCTGTGTGTGTGTGTGTGTGTGTGTGTGTGTGTGTGTGTGTGCAACCCTATCGATTGTGACTGATCAGTTATGTGTTCCATATCTGTAGGTACACATCACTCACGGAAAAACTGAATTGGACGGGTCCGAACAACATGAATAACACTCGAATCATCTTCTTTGAATCCTTGAGTGAAAACGACTACGAAAGGCCCTGCAAAGGACGAAACATACACATCATCCGGAAAAGATGAAGAAGACAAAGGGAAAAAAAAAAGAAAAGAAAAAAACAGCCGGAACACGGCAGGCTTGACGCCAGCCAACAGCACCAGAATTGAGAGGCATCACGCGTGTCGAGCGGCTCCCCGGAACTCCTCTGTGTCCTGGGAACATCTCGTGGTGGCTGTGCAGTGGTCCCTGCTCGGGGGCTCGCCTGTTGCAGAACAACCAGCAGAGTTCGCGCGGGATAGTTAGGACGCCCGCACAAGATCGACAATGACCTTCCAACCAAATTCCATCTTTTCTGCAATTAACTGCGCACAATCACGTTGCACGGCAGCAGCAGTAGCTGACCGATGATCGATGGTGGACACAGTTAGCTCCGCGCACTGCAAGGTTGCGTCAGTATGGTGCTTCCAGGCGCCAGTCTGTTCCCGTATCCAACCTCCCAATTCTTTCATTGACTTATCTCTTGCGTTCTAGGCAGCCCGTGTCTTTTTGTAAGAGGGAGATGGAACACTGTCGCGTGCTCCTTCCATGTGGGCACTGTCGGAAGCAGTGACATATGCTCCCTCACCGGGAGTAGTGGCCGGTGAGGCAGCACATTCAGTCGATGCACCTATGGGCGGGCAATTATACCCCTCCTCGAATCTGCTCCCTGGATCTTCGCAGTCTGAGGGATGTACAGACCTGTCGTTTCATAAATACACCTCCAACAGATCAAACCAATCCTTATGAAGGATGAAATTGAAGCCCTTCTCCTGACGCTCAGCGGAGGTCATCCTCCAATAGCTTTGTATCCCGCTACCCTTGTGAAGGGTTGTCACTTGTCTGTACGTAGCCCAGATTGACCGCCACCTCGTCTGACATTCAAGCCACGTCTTTCTCATGCCTACAATGGCCAAAACTTTTGCTATCTCCTCCCAAGCTTTCTTGGATGTCCGACCATTGCCAATGTCTTCATAGTTGACCGCACGGGCGACATGCCGGTCGCCTTTTGCACGAATGAGTGCCATAGTGTCGAGATGGGCCCAATCTCCTCGTTTGCGGGTTCGTGCCACTCCTTGTGAACCGCCCTCCTCCGACCACGTTGTCTCTCCTTGAGACGACTGTGGCTCCTGCCTGCCATCACAGCCTTCCTGCTCGTGATTAGCATGAAAAGGTTCCAAGTCCTCATCTGCCTGCGGGCCTGTTCCTTGCCCACCACATCCATTGTCTACATCACTATCCCTGTTAGGATGATGCAGGGGAACCGTGTCTCCGGACAACATGTCGTTGCCGAACCCCTCCTCGACATGCATATACGTATCCATATTGCAGGCAGCCCCACCACTTGACCCATTCTCCGCCATCCCTCGACAGTCATCCCTAGAAGGCGTCGGGGACGACACTACAGTCCATTGCATTTCAACTACGGTCTCTTGCCCGCCCACTGGTGCGCCCGCTCCCGCAGACCTCGCGCCTACTTCCGAACTTTCTCCATACGGACGGTCACGTGCCATGCGACTGTCCCCCCCTTGCAATCCGCCAAACCTCCCAAAATCATCACCACCGTTCGCTTGCACATTGACGGCCACACCGCCGCTGCTGCTGACTTCCTCTGTGACTCCCTCATACATGCAGGCCGACGGTGTAGTATATGGCTGGAACGCGGTGATGGTCGGGCATTTCCCAATGCAGGGCAGGCCGTGCCCATTGACCCTGTCGCGGCTGGCCGCACGCCTTCCATGGCTGAAGCAAATCCGAGAGGTGTTATGGAAGGCGGCGTCGAACAAACATCAAGAAATGTGTCCAGCAGGGCACCACATCCGGCTGAAGGAGATGGCGTGAAGACAGGGCCAGAGGATGTGGTCAACCCTTTGCCACGACTTGACAGCAGGGACAACATAGGTCCCAACAGTGAGCGCCAGCGCCCCCCCCCCATCCTCACCTGCGAATCTGCAAACGGTTTGTTGGGAACCCAGCCCCAGATGCTGCCAGCCCTCTCCTGTTGCGTTGACCGTTTGGCTGTCGAGAGTCGGACGAACAGACATTGAAGAGCCCCTCCAATGGCAAGTGGTTCTACAAAACATAGGTGGTGAAACTATGCCATCAACTCCTTTATTGTTTCCATTAGAGGGAAACTGCACAATGGGCAGCCCGTCAGCTTGCATGGCCCTTGCCACCAACTCCCGCAGCAGAAGATTAATGGAGTCGGCAGATACATGAGAAACTTCAAGGAAAGGGAGTGGCGGCAATAACATGTCATCAGATCCGGATGGTGTTGACGTGGTCCCTCTCACATGGTCACCCGGTATTTGCTGCCCCAACCCCCAACTAGAACCCTGGCTGCTTGTGTTTGTGTGTGTGTGTGTGTGTGTGTGTGTGTGTGTGTGTGTGTGTGTGAAAAAACGACGTCAAAGGAAAAAACAAGAAAGGCGACCACCACCCCGCCAACCACCACCATAGTCTCCGAAACGGAAAAGAAGCACATATACCTCCAGAACTGTTACCGAATGAGCCGCCACTGTGGAAAACACTAAGTCGGACCGCGAATGCAACACATGCCCAAACTTTGGTAACAACAAAATCTACGGAACAGAAGGCACATAACAACGCATTTATGACGAACACATGTGAATCCCTGCGTTGGGCAGTACCGGGAGCGAATCGACAGAGACAGTGGATAAGACGAGGTGGCCGAGATCACTGGAGACACCTTCCACACAGGCTTACAGAGGAACACTTGCTACCAGTGGAGACGATCTTGTCGCCACACACCTTCCGTGACCAGCATGAACACACGAAGTTGCCACTAACGAAGTGGTCACCCCGACTACCCCCCTAAAAATTGTTATCCCAAACCCCATGTTTGTGGGTCTCACCTCTCTCTGTCCATATTCATAATAGGCCCCTAACAACCCCGAAGGGCATTTGCCACACAACCCAAGGACATGGCCCCTCTTCATTGCTCCCACACTGCACACACAAGTAAAGCATTCCGAGAGTGTATCTGCCAATACTTCGTGCGAAGATCCTGTCGCATAAGGAGGTAACATACAGGTGATGAATGGGAGGCATCTCAGGCAGACCCCACATGACACACCCACTGAAATCATCCGAGACGCCCACTCACACTGTCAATTGACAACCCGCCCGCCCACACGCATTTGCGGTGCATTGGACAGCATAGTGTTGACAATGATGGACCACTACTGTGTTTTTTTTTTTTTTTTTTTTGCTTCCGTGGATGCAAAAACTAGCACGCGTCGCCCAACCGTCCTCTCTCTCTCTCTCATACACACACACACACACGCGCAACTTCTCGAGGCATGCCTCCACTACACACAGGAGAACATGCACTTCAATGCTTAGATGACCAGGTGCGTTCGAACGAGTCCACCATTCTGAATGTACAACTCCCAGAAAGCATCCAAAAATGCATGTGAAGTATTGCGTATTGGAGCCAAACCCTTAATCTCTTTTTCTCCCGCTGACCCGCTCTCTCTCTCTCTCTCTCTCTCTCTCTCTCTCTCTCTCTCTCTCTCTCTCTCTCTCTCTCAGTGGCAAATAACATGGCGACACTAACTCAAAAGGTTCAGTCAGTCGATGTCCCTCTCCTCTTTTTCAATATGCGTGCCAACTTCATAGCCTCCCAAGCCCTTTTCTCTATCTCCAATTCCGGTAACCCTCGCACCTCCTCTCTCTCTCGATGTGCCTCGACTTGTAATTGTTGTGTATCACTTTTCTCCAATTGCAAAACATGGTTTGCCTCCTTATCGAATTGCTTATATCTCTCCTCCTTCGCACGCCGCTTTTTCTCCAGTCTCATTTGTAATTTGTATTCCGATGTCGATAAGATCGGTTGATAGATGTAGGCATCCGCAAGCCCCCTGTTGCATAGAGGGTGGCATCTGCCCTCCTTTTCTGCAGACGTGCTCCCCTTTTCCCCATCTTTTGGACGTCCGCTGCCACTCTCCTCTCTCTCTCTCTCTCTCTCTCTCTCTCTCTCTCTCTCTCTCTCTCTCTCTCTCTCTCTCTCTCTCTCTCTCTCTCTCTCTCTCT